TTCGTCAGCCTTTGTCTAAATGACTCAATGGAATGCCTCCATATTTAATAAATGCTCAGTCCATGATTTCTACTTTTACCTGTATAACACGAAGAATACCTCACTGGGATGTGGTACCGTGATACACTAGAGTCCCTCAGTTTACAGCCAAATCACACTTAATGAAATCAGTATTGCCGCTTTCAGTTAAAAAATTAATTCGACTGTGTCATAGATGCTTTTGGCTGGATTCCTCAATACCAAGTATTGTTCCCTATGAGAGTGCATTGAAGAAACCCTGCAGGGAGATATTGCAACTTCGCCGAGAATCGAATAGAAGTATTTCACCTATACAAGATGTATACGGTAATGAATTAACTCACTGCGCTCAGCCACACATTACCCTATAAAACTCTCTTGTTTGGAAATGAAAAATGTCCAAATATATTGTGTCAGTGACTGCAAACACACATTAACATCTAAATTTCATACGACTTCTGTCTCATTACTGCATATAATAATAGTTTGATAGTTATTTAAGTATGCAGTGAAAAGTATCTCATGGACCACGTGTAGCATTTGGTATTCAGCTGAGGTATGAGCACTCAGTGAAAGTATTTTAGGGAACTAATACGACGAGATTAGCTTTTTTATAATATATACGCACCTACCAACGGAATGAAAAGATAACGACGAATTGTTATCACAAGCATTGTATTTACTATGGAGGGAATGTTATTACAAGCAAACTTCACAGTAACATGTACAAGTCTTGCATGTCATTGCATCAGTAATGTGAGCATACTAATTGCACTACGGCCCGAAGTGAATAATCTCAAGGCTTCGTACCAACAACTGTGTGGGAGGTGGATGTATTGATAGACTGCTTGCAGATACCATGTAGGACGACATCTAGTAGAATGTCTACGAAGACTGACAACCTGCAATGAGGAAGACAAAAACGAAACAATTAGGAGACACACAATGCATAAGATAAGTATTCTTGATATAAGCATAAAACTTGGGCACTGTGGTAGAGTATAACTCCATTATGGATAAGATTTTATTTCCATAAACCACATAGTGTTGTACAGTAATATTACCTGACGACGTTTCGAGCACAAATTATTGCTCATAATCATATCAACTCAGTCACAACTTTTGCTGCATTCATATGCATTGGTATTTTACTTAGGCGTACTACAGGCATGAAAAATCACCCATCTCATTCACTTCTATTCACACTATTTCTTATGTCCATGTTACTGACTTTTGGTAAATGTTTTCTTCTTCGGTGAACTTTAGCATTCCATTGTACCTGGACTAAAGGTCATTCTGACAGACTGACTTTCAACATAGAAGCTTGCACACAAGTGCACCCGTTTAGGTTATCACATTCCATGCAGCACACAAAGGTAGAGAAAAACGAAATTAAATGGAACTCTAATGAGCATAAATGTGATGGGAAACGAACAGTGATATGGAAACAACATAAGGGTTCTCAGAGTGTTGCACAGAGTAAATGCATCTGTGTCATTAACAATGTTTGTAGTCACATTTCTGCTTAACACTAAGCCTGACACCAATATTACGCACCATCTTAGACTACCTAACACAGAAGAGAGGGCACAGACACTACTATCAAAAACTAGTAGTCTTTTCATATCTTCCAGTTTCAATGGCCAATTCTCACAGCCTAAGTGGACAATATCATCAGCATACACTAATTTGACAAGACTGTGTCCTAGTAGGTCCCTAAAGTGAGTGACAGACAATTCTGTTGATACATGTATGATGAAAGTGAACTAAAATAAGGACGACAGTTGTAGAAATGAGCCTTGCATCATATCCTTCTTGAAAATATCAGTTCCTTCATAGTTTAGTTTAGTATGCGTTATCACAATGATAACTGGTGTTGCGCGATGTGAACACACGAATCTGAGCTGTGTCATCTTGTTTCTGATGCCTTTGAAGTTGTTACAAACACACTCAGTGGTTACGGCCAACATACAGGTGTTCTGTTCCGTGACGTGTGATGACTGTTTTAGTTCATGACATCACCGTTCTGGATGGCCACCTCTCTTGCAACCGCCTTCACTCTCGTCTTGTAAGTAAGTGGTTGTCATCAGGTTCAACTTTCTGTTGATCTGCAATCACATAGGATTGATCTTTGAAAATCACTCTCCTCCGTTGTTGTCGTAGAACTATGGATTACTGGCACGGCATGATATTGCTTTTAACCGCGTTTAGTACTCTTATAATTTTGCATTTGAAATCAGTGTATCCGGAGATTCCTACTACAAATCGTTGTGAATGGAATGCCGCCTACTAATATTTCTGTATGCGCGTAAGGAGAAGACTATACAAAATTCAAAATGTTTCCTTATAACATATATGATAAGATATTCGAAAGTAACCTAATCATCCTACTTATATATTCATATATTCTGAAACATGCCAGTCAAGATTTCAAAACATGGACTTTTCGCATTTGAGTCCATTTACGGGCTTCCTCTATCAGAATACCATGTGCGAATTGAATTTTTCTACAGCCACACTACCTACTAACTCTTTGGCTTGGCCCACCTAACCTCGTGGCCAGGTTCTTGACGCCACTCCGATTTGTAGGACAGCAACATGCTTTTTATTGACAGCTCGAGAATTAAACATGAGCTTAGTTCCTGAATGTTTAAAAAATGTTAAAAAAACTAAAATATATATATAACCACTGTATAGATTTAACTTATAAAAAATACTGCTTTTGCCCCTAACATCTACAAGTCTGCTCAGTTTCTTCTCGAGATGCTACCCCATGGGCCATACACAAGTTCGCCAGACATCCTACAGATCACCATATCCAACAGGACCTAATCCTCCAAACCACTTCTCTCTGAAATGTCGTTTATATACTCCACGACAATCCTTCTATCTAATCACTATCATACTCTATTTTATCTCAACTCCCTAAGCCTTTAATAAAGCTGAAATTTACTCTTTTCATTCACACTCCTCTCTCACTAAAGTTCGGTCGCTCTGATGATGAAAAAGGCATAACAACAACACCCATGTTTGAGAGTAACTATATTTTCATAGAAAACGTCATAGTTTTTCATGGTAAGACCAATATGGTTAGCATCATACATTGCAAATGTGCACTATCATATCAAGTACTGTATAGCCTCTTCTTGTATTTTTGTTGTAAATATACTTCCAATAATGTTCTATTCATGATTGCATTTTATACCACTTTGTAGCTGTGCAGGATTTTCTCCTCTTCCTGAAATAGCGTTCAAGCACGTGGGGTCATAGCACCCACTCAAATATGTTATTTATCGATGGGCCATAACTATCACCAGGAAATGGAACGAAGTTTGGGTTGTCGCTCACTTTCGATGGAGACCTTCGTGAAAGATTTACAAATTAACAATTATAAGAATCCTTTCCGATGCTTGTACTTCAACATTTTGAAATATTGAAAAAGTGATAATGTATGCTAATTCACAATTGTAATTGGTAACATAATTGATCGTGCCTGTAAAAATGGCATTCATTTCATGTAAACTTACCCGTTTACACGAAATATATTTTATTATTATTATTATTAGAGAAGGGAGAATATAACTCGCACGTATGCTCAAAGGTGTATTTATTAGCGATGACAGGAGTAGACCATAGCCATACGCAATCACACCACAACGCAGCCGCTGAGTTCTTGTCTCTTGAGAATTATGCTGACCAGATTGTGTTTCGGTCCACATGGATAAACAAATTGGCCATTGGCGGTGAAAGGTCTGAGGCTTAACTGACCTCAAGAACTTCTCTGTTCTCCTATCGTATGGAGCCATCTTTACTTATTCAAGATCACTCATTGGTGTTGAGGTAATCGTTCCTTGTTTTCGTGGGTAGTTGCATGATCCATTAGAATGCTTGACTGTCATTGCTTCGGTAGACATCTAGCCGAATAGTCGTACGCGACAAGATCTTGTGTGGGCCGTCAGACGTCGTGTGATGGAGCAATGGAAATGTCGCAATCGGAGTTAGACTTCTCAACAGTCATTTGTTAATCTTGTCGAAGAGTGAGATAATACTGACAGTAACCATAACCGTAATAGTAACAATAAGGATATATCGTTCATGGCAAATGTACACTTAAAGAGACAAACAGTTAACGGAAACGGTAAAATGAATGGATGGATATGCCACACAACGATTGGTGTTGTAACGATAGACTAGAATCAAAGTGGCTAATGGGAATAAAAATGAACTTCACACTATTCTTAAAAGTCCTACAATACAAAGTCTCTACAAATATTAAGACAGCGAAATTTGAGCAAGTTAAGCCCTACAACCCCAAGAGGCATAACCGACTAGCTGACACATTGGAAGCTTTAAAGCTTTTCGACGACGTGTGCCTACATTTCGAGGGGGACGGCACAATGTGTTCTACGTTTTCAAACCTCATTACAGTTTATATCAGGTCTGAACCATAACATCACCCGAAACACCGTCTTTAGAATTCTTGATGTAGCTCACACGGAATATAAGGTGTTCCAATTCTGGCCCACTAAGTATCTAAATACAAATATTGACTTAATCCGGGAAATGCCTGGTCAAAATCCGTAGGCAGTGCTTTGCGGCTACCCTATTATTATAAAGTATGTATCTCGAGTTAGGTTATAGACTGACTCTCAGTATGCTACTAGAAACAACGTCCTCCAAGATACTTGCACAGAAGTTACTATGTGCTAGTTGTCTGTTAAATCCTTCACAAAGCGAAGTCTGTATTGCAAGTACATTCTCGGTCGTACTCTCGATTTTAGTGTCCTACTTCATATACGCGCAACACATTTCTTGAATTCACTAACCTGGAACGTAACCTAACACGTAATTAAGCAGAAAATTCATCATGAGATAGTCAAATAAATCCAAGAAACTCGAAATCTCAAAGTCCATACAAAAGGTTGAAAAGTATTGGAAATTGGATGCTTAATTTTGTTTAGTCAAGCCATCGCACGTCTGACATCGAACATTAGTTGTGGAGTGCGCTTACTATTGTAGTAGTTCTTGTCGGCATGTCAGATAGGTGAGGTTGTCTGTTAGTTTACAGGCTTTCAGATGTCTCTTGTGAGTGTGTTAGTCGACTTAGGGATTCCGACAGTATGGTGTTTGCTTGGAGTTGTCAGCCAATTGTTGTCCAACAGGAAAAAGTGTATCGTGCAGTTGCGACAGTCACAGTAATTAGGAGAACGATTTGTTAGCCTTCGAGTAGCATAGGTTAGAATACCAAGAACTGGTTCACACTGCGAACCAGCAAAGGGATCGTTAGCTGTGACTAGTGTGCAGTGGTTAGTTGTGTCTCGTGTACACTGAGTTGCTACGGTAATTTCCTGAGCGCCGTCTAAGAGATGAATGGATTTCTTCAATGGTGCAACCTCCTGGTTGGCATTCTGCTGCTTCATGTAACTGTCAAACTTTGTCCGGAGTGGTATCATGGGTTGTAGATATTGGAGGTATTTCTCGTCAGTATGCCGTTATGTCGGACGACAACTGATGGATCAGCTAATTCATCGACATATACTCACAGGTCATATTCAATACTGAGTGAATAAAATTGCATACCACAATTTTTATGACGGTCATTTAAGCACTACTGAATTACTTGGTTGTGTTTTGTAGAGGGTTTCATGGACATCCGCGTGGACGTGGAGCACCTGGTGGTCGGGGAGACCGTAATGGGTCAGACAGGCCCTCTGGAAATGGGTGAGTGTGGATTGATTTGTATTGTTTCTCGCTATTAACATTATCCGTATAACTGCGTAGAAGTATTTTAGCGCATAGCTAACCAATGTCTTCCTAGTATGGTTTCAATTCCAGCTTGGAAGCAGTGTAACTAAGATATCCCAAAGACTGAACGGCTTTACCGCAGAGTGGTGACTCGGAAATTCATCTGAACTTTGGTGCATCAAGCTTGTTTGACCGAAATTGAGCTGTCTAAACACACTGAGTAGTCGGGGTCCACTTGTGATGTGTTTTGGTGCTGGTCGTGCACGTTAACTACAGCTTGACAGGAGTTCCTGTTTGGAATCTGTTTGGAACGAAGACTGATGAGATGTGGCTAACATGAAGGATGAAGAGTGAGTGTGTTGTCTGTATGACTATGGTAGGTGTGGTTCCTACTATCCCAAGAACCATGGTAAGGCATACATACTCTGCGGTCTAGACCACCAGTTATTACATTGCACTTCGCTTCAATTTAACTAGTCTGAATTGCAGTGGAATAATGATTGTATTACCTCTACCAGACAAAACAGCAAGTAAATATGTCCGCCATTGATTGATTCATTTTGCTGGTTTGTTCGATTCTCTTAATCCCCATTCCCACGCAATGACTGTCGTTGGTGAGTTGTAGTTCAAAATTGTCAGCCGCAATTCCACACATGAGATGAGAGTAGGTGAAACTATGAAACACCTGATTATTGTCAATTCGACCTCTGATTTCACATTGCGAAGTGTAAAAGTCATGAATTTTGTCCTGTGCATTTAGCTACGATGGTTGGCAGTTGTTTCATGAATGAGGAGTTGGCGAGAAGTAGTTTGTGTCTGTTGTGTTCGGATACGTATTATGTAGTCCGCTGTTATCTTCCATAACATTGTCAGATTGGTTTTTCAGTCAGCCTCCACAAATGAGAGAGTAGCACTGTTCGTATTCGTGGACTGCATAACTACTAAGATGTTGTTCTTCACCCTTCAGGTCACGCGTCAACATTTCAGGACCGTTGAAGAAGCCTGCTGAAAGAGGTCATTCAGCGTAAGTTTATGACTGCTGACAATAACTCGTAATAGTTCGTCTGGTTCTGTATGGAGTTTCAATGCACCTTGCGAACGGGGTGATATTCCGTCGTCTTCGGAAGTCGAAATTGCCTCGGAAGCTGCCCGCCAGAGAAAGAGCCATCCAATCCAGAAATCTGTGTGAGTACTTTCCCTGTTGTTCCTTCAGATAACACAACATGTTTTGCCTTGATGCCTAACTAGCTTTCGTCTCTTTGTTTCAGGTATGACATATCTACGGGAATTTCGAAGTAAGTTGATGTTAAATAAACTCTGACAGTATTTGTCTTCATTGCTTCCTTCGTTAACGCTCCTGAATTGACTTATTTTTCAGACTAAACATGCAGAAGACACTTAGAATGCCGAATAGACCAGACCAAGGAGGTACAATTGGCAAGAAAGTCAAAGTCACTTCAAACTGTTGGGATTTAACTTTTCATCACAAAACGGTATATCTTTATTTTGTGGAAGCAAACTCAGTTCACCGATTGGAAGCTAAGGAGGGCAGTAAAACTGAGATAAGAATGCCACCAAAAGAGTTGAGATCTTTAATTCAGCAGGTAGCAGACTCGTAAGTACCATTGTGTTATTGATCAGATGGATTGTTTACATATGTAATGGAACTCTGTTCCTCAATTATTAAGCTGAATTGTTTCTCTGACTTTTGGTCAAGTATTGCTTGCTTGTCAACCGAAGATTGGTACACGTGTGGGATAACTTTTTCCATATCCCACACCATTCATCACATGACTTTGGTTTCTATCAGTGTTGTTTAGGAAGAATTGGTGAATTTGTTGGTTATGGCTTCTATTGACAGCAATGGTATCTATTCATAAACCTCATGCTAAACAATTGTGCTTATTTCACTTGCTTCTGCAGTTTACCAGATACGATTATATATGATGGCGGTCATGCCATATACTCTGAAGATCCGTTACCTGGTGTCACAACGGACCCCGTCGAAAGAGAGATTGAAATCAAAGAGCCGTTTGGTCGGGACCGCCTCCTTCTCAAGTACCGGATTATGGAAGTGCAGAAGGTGTCTACTTCTGATATCAGTCATTTCATAACGAGTCCGAAAGCGACCTCAATGAATATGCCTCAAGTAAGTCTGGATATGTTTCAGATTTGTCTCTAGGAATGTATCAGATTGTTAGATTGCATCTTGAAGACGGTGTCAAAGCAGTCGTTTGTATCCCTTGGACGCGCAGCCCTATTTCAGGGGACACCAATAAAAGTGGTTGCAGATAAGCTCTTCGCTATTCATAAGGGTTTCATTAGTAGTGTGAGGCCCCAGTGGAAAGTTCGTGTGAACTTGGACATGGTAAGTAGTGGTACACCTTTTTCTTTACATAATCACAGACGTGCAAGGCCTACTTTGTATCCGGGAATCTAGCGGACGTCATGTACTCGAAGTACGGAGACAACATGGCTAGATGTAGCACTCAAATGGCATACGACTTGAGAAAGATACGAGTTGAGACTGATAAATTCTACAGGAGCGATGATGGTATGCATGCTTTCTGTTATACCTCATACATTTTAGGACGTGCATATTCCCGACGCTTCACCGTGCACGGGATATCCTCACAACCAGCCGATCGTTTGATGATTGAGGAGTTGAAGCAGTCCGTGGCTGAATACTTCAAGGAGCACCATCATATTACTCTGAAGTATCCAGAGCTGCCGTGTGTCAAGGTAAATTTTCATTTCAGTGATTATTTTGTAGGTTGATCAAAAGCGTGAAGTGTATGTGCCGATGGAACTGTTAAACATTTTGCCATATCAAGCTCCTAATGTGAGTAAAGCCGATGTTGCGAGTGAAGTTATCCGTTGTGCAGCAATTCGACCACAGGAGCGCTTTAGAGAGCTGGAAAATTTTGCTAATAATATGCTGAAGTAAGAGTTTTATTTATGAGTTGATACTGCCGGTCAGTACTAATGTGTAATGTTGCTTATTGATGCAAAAGTTGAGGGGAAGCATGTTGAGAAAGACGAGTTTCCGATGATTGATTTCTTCGGCATTCCATGAAGCTTATAGCTCGACACTCACTGTTGTAGCGCATTCAAAGGATGGTGAGAAAGTAGAATAAGTAGAAGGTTACAATGCAAACCTTGGATACTTTTGGGGATTTCCGAAATATCACACTTAGCTTCTATAGAATCATTGGTGATGTCAATGGAAGAGTCCTCCAGAATGGACGGAGAAGTGCTCAAGATAATGCTACTTCAAGTTGTAGTCGATAAGCTATGGATCGGTAGGCGCTTCCAAGTACAAGCCAACTCAGTCTTCCCATGACTGGAAATTCTAGTCTTCATTATATTCCTGTATGGAGACAAGTTGAAGGTGGGAACGGAAGCATACTACTAGACGAATGATAAGTTATAATTGTATTTCAATGGTTGTTTACGCAGTGATAAGCTTTTGATTTCTAGCGAAATTGCCACCAGCTATTAGGATTGAAATACAATTACACTTAATTGATTTATTCCACAATGCGTAAACTTCTCACAGATATTATTAGATGAGCGCTTTGCGAACGTCTTGATGACAGAAATCTGATATTCGTAGTGTCAGCCGTAATTTTGAAGTTTGAATAAACGTGAGGTAAATACCGCAGTCCTTCTGGATAAGTGCCGGGGATACTTGGTGTAACGCCTACCTACAGAGTTAATTGTTTGTTTTCCAGGTATGCAAGCAGATACGACATACACTGTCTTATACATAGATTTGACAAGGACGCAGAATGTGGCGGTGTCTAGTTGGTTATAATGGGTCACGAGTTATATAATTGCACAGACCTGCGACGAGTCGAGCACGACAAAATTAGAGTAGTGTTTGTTGACCGTGTGACAGTGTAGAGGACTTCATTGTTTGCAAGTCTGGAGCCAGATTTTATGATTTACTCAATTCATTGTTTTGTAATTATGAGGGTTTCTTTACATGCTATTTGTTCCATTTCCTCCAAGGTCCCACCCACTGATTAAACAATTTGGTTTAGCGATTCAGCCGAGGCCAGTGGAAGTTAACGCACGTGTTATCCAACCGCCAACTGCTGGTTTTGGTCGTTCTGGTGTGCAACAGCTGACGGCAGGTAAATGGAGCACGCCTGGCTTTCTTCACCCTGCCGGCGGAGGAGTAGAATTAATGTGGGCTGTACTTAGCATTCCGCCTGATCAGGTATGTTTTCTACTCTGGTTCAACATAAGATTAGTGCTGTAACGAGGATGAGTTGTGCAATCACTTGGGCACTAAAATGACTTGGTCATTTGTCGATTGTGTCAACATGGAAGGGTACCTCGCCTAGTTTCATGAAAGCCCATTTACTTCATTGTTCACTGCAATACGTCGGTGGCAATATCAATATCTTTTATTTGCCAGTGTTTAATGCTCTGTATACGAAGCTGAGGTTTTGTCTGCCCTTTAATGCAGTGAATGAAATGTTGTCAGATGAGTAGAGTAGCCTGAGAAGTGTGCACTTAATTCTGAATTGTTGTCGAAAGGCATATGTTATCGTTGAAAACAGTTAGTCGCTGTTTAAATTTGGATAGTGTTTTTAGAAGACGGAGATTATCTGAAAAGTGTGTATTTGCGCAATACATTTGGAAGAACCTTTCATGTTATTACTATTGTCAAATGTAAACGCGAGAACTGACTGCTTCCTCCCCTTGCCATGTTTTCTTCCTAGCGGTCTCATGGTCATGTACAGAAGGTGATATCAGAATTGCCTAGAGCGGCCAGTCGCTTTGGTGTTCGGTTTAGCCCTCGACCGATTGTGGCGCAGTGTCCGAGAGGAGAACTTCACAGGAGGTTCGAGGAGTTTTCCAGACAAGGATGTCGCTTCTTGCTTCTCATCCTGTACGATGAAAAGTGCTACTCATCCATTAAACGTCTGAGTGATCTACAAATGGGCATTCGGACCCAATGTGTACGAGGTCGTACTCTGGACAAACCGAACGTTTTCCGTAAGTAATTAGTGTTGTTCACATGTAGCCTTCAGTGTGTTTCTGTATTTCGATGAGTTTAATTCGGTTTTCTGCTTTCAGCGAACCTGTTGCTCAAACTGAATGGGAAACTCGGCGGTGTGAACTGGCAAATTCCTGATCTGATTAAGGACAGTCAAGAGTTGCTTATGGTTTTCGGAGCCGACGTCACTCATCCGGCGCCTACACAAACTCATGAAATTCGGAAGTCAGTAGCTGCTGTTATTGGTAGCGTTTCACCCGATCTGATGAGATACGGGGTAGTTATCCGTCAACAGGCAACCACAGAAAAAGGCAATAAGTCAGCTAGGGAAATAATCGACGACATGCGTCTGATTGTCAGTGAGCTACTCCAGGTTAGTTTTCATCAATGACCGACTCTACTGACTCACGTTCCCCTTCTTCCCGTTGTACGCTTTCGTTCTTGTGTTTTGTTGCAGCTTTACCTGCGTAACACGAACGGGCGTTTCCCGACGCGTATGATATTCTATCGGGATGGAGTTTCGGAGGGCCAGTTCGAAAATGTGTTGGTGGAGGAGTTGTGTGCAATTCAAAGAGCCTGCGCAGATGTCCGTCCTGGTGAAGAGCCTGCTATCACTTATATTGTTGTGCAAAAGCGTCACCATATTCGGTTTAGACCATCTGACCCCAGGTAAGGTATTCGCTCATGATGTTTCCTGTGTACCTACTACACCTTATTCGTGTCTTAACGGTCTGTTTGAATGCTTTGTAGGGCAAGAAACGTGGAGCCAGGAATGGTGGTTGACACAGATATCACGCATCCCAGGGAATTCGATTTCTACCTCTGCTCTCAGGAAGGGATTCAGGTAAATTGTTTCCTTGTGTTAATACCATTTCTTTTAGGGTACATCGAAACCTGCTCACTATCACGTTTTGTATGATGATAGTAACTGGACATCGAATGCTCTGCAGATGTTCACCTACCACTTATGCTACGCGTACATGAGGTGTTCCCGTAGTGTCTCGTATCCAGCGCCGACTTATTATTCTCATTTGGCTGCATTTCGGGCGCGTGAGTGGTTATCGGACGTAGAGAAACCAGAGATTCTGTTAGATGCTGGTCGTTTCAAAGTTCACAGCAGTCAAGTTGACGGCATGTTTTACTTATAAACAGATTTTGTTATTTTCATATAAATTGTATTTCCTTTTGAATCCATCTTCTCTCTTCGAGTTAACTGTAGTTAGTTAGGGCTACGGTGATACAGCATCAACGTAATACTGCTAAGAAACCTTGAACACTTCACAATTCGATGGTTGATTCGGACGTGTTTTCTGGGAAGAGGTGACTGACTGTGGCTGCATTAGAGGTGTTCTGACCTCTGCGTCCCTGCTGTGTTGACAAAGAATCGGTTGATGAGGCAGTGTCAACACGTGGCATTGATAAATCCACTAACGTGCGTGTTGTGAGTAAGAGTAAAGAAGGTGTAATTTCGAAGCTAGTTGTCTGTACTCTTGAGCAGGGGATTTCGGAAATGCTTGTCTTCTGTGGCAGTGTGAATTCCAATAATTTATTTGGCCAAGATGGTGGTTAATCTGAATGGTTCGAGCATTTCTCGGTGGATATCACAACTGTTAAGGTCGGTTGTTCACTATTTGCGCAGTGATTGATTACCTCAAATGAGTTGCTTCAGGGTTACAAGTGATTATCAGTTTGCATTCCCCATTTGCGTTGTACAATGACACCATCGTTTCTGTTCAATTCAGTGTTTCTTTGATGACGACAAAAGAGCTACAGTCAATCGTCCTCCCAACAGTAACTGGACGCTTCTTCTCAGGGATTCCCATCTTTTGGTGGCAGTTACTTAATTTCGTGAGGTGTTGCTTGAAGATGAAAAGAGAAACCCGAGTTTTGATGTGAACAGAAAAAAAGACTGTGTTTACGTTATGACTTCAACCACCACCCAATTATAACTCAGAACCAGTCTATTAAACAAACACATTTCCGGAGCCTTACAAATAATAAATCAGTTATTTTGTCCTCTGTGTTGTAACTTGATTTGGATAAATTGTGGGGGAGGACCTAGATAGTCAGGAAGTCTGGTGATAATGAAGAACGGATAATAGTGAACTATTCACTTACTGAACCATATAATCTCAGAAACACTTTTTGGTGTGCAACAGTCACTAACATAAAGTCTAGTGTGTGGATAGTTACTCACTGGTAAAATTAGATACCATTGGTGCTATGTTGGGAATTGAAA